CCATCCAAAAATTCGTTAGTTGATAAAAAACCAAACGTCTAACCTTATTCTCACCAATTTTTAAAAAGGCAAAATCATAACTCTATATGTTTCCAAATAAAATAATTAAATAAAAGAAAAAAAATATTTCTTCATCTTCTTCCCCATCCATCCCATCCCATTCGCCATCCCACCACAACCAAACCAAACCCACCTATGACCTTACCATCGCCACCATCTGTCACTACACATGTACTAACGACTTTCGACAAGAGTTTGACTCTTTCTCCTCGAGAAAAAAATACCCGGTACAAGTGCTAATGAAGACACTCGTCTCTTAAGACACAAGACCACATCCCTTCATGGAAGTACTACAACTTACGTAGACTATCGAACCTACTCATGTGTTGAACTTTCTTTATATGAAACGCAACTCAAAATAAATGAGAAAATATTTTGATGTGAATATCCATCAATATGATAATCCATTATGATGGAATAAATATTTTATAAATTAACACACTTTGTCGGTGTTGATGGCCAAAAAATTCATTAGGATGGAACAAATATGATAGTTTGACAAAATATTTTCCTCATGCTAATAGAATATTTTAACAGAAAATCGTCATCAGATATAATATATGTTAATGAGATGAAAAAGTTTGTGAACATAAGTACGAAAATGAGCAAAAATTGAAAACATTAAAAATACGTGCAATTAACAAAAAAATGTGGTATGTATATAATTACCCATTTAGAAATCCAAAAGTAGTGGACACAATTATTTTCATAACTTTTTAATTATTACATTTTTTTTTTTTGGGAAACTAAGGGGTGTATTTAATTGGGACTTTTATAGATTTTTATGGACTTTTTTAAGTGATGGACTTTTGTGAAATTCGTAGACTTTTATAGATTTGTATAAAGTTAATGAAAGCATTTCGTAGAATTCAATGGACTTTTATATAATTCATAAGATTTTCGAAAACTTTCATTTGAAATAGAATTCACGTCGGTAGATTGCAAAAGTAGAAGTTCTCACATAGGAAGTGGAGGTTCGACCTCCATCATTCCTTTTCCCCTCAAGTAATAAAAAATACGTTTAAATGAATAAAAAATCTCAAGTCACCTTAATTAAATTAATAAATAATCAAAATACCTAAATATATATAAATTTTAGTATTCTTTGATAAAAGAAAAAGAATTTTTTTTTAATTATCATTATGCCATACCTTTATAACCAATCAATATATTTAAACGTTAATAATGAATTATTATAATTTTAAATAAAATTTTATAAATTTTATCCTTTTTCATAAAAAAATAGATGAAAAAAAGAAGAAAAATGTTATAATTTTTAAGTACAATTTAATCTTTTCCATAGAAAATCGAGAGAGAAAATAAAAACGAGAGAGAAAATGAAAATAGAAATAAATATAATTAGTAGAAGAAAAAACAATAATTTTTAATCATGGCTCTAAGGTTGGTAGAAGGTAAAAGAAAGAGAAACTTTAAAAGAATAAAAAATAAATATAAAAAAAACGTTATTTGTACAAGTCTCCCAAAATCTTAGGGGTAAAGATAAATTTTGAGATTTTATTTTTGTACTTTTTCTAAAAAATTAGTACTCCAAAGAATTTTTTAAAAATCTTTAAAAGTCATTAATATTTTGAATACATCAAAATTTATAAAGGTTTCTAAAAAAAAATTAATTGAATACATCGTAACTTTTAGAGATTCAAAAATATTCTACATTGAATATTTTTAAAATTTAATAAATTCCAAAAAAACTTTAAAAATCTCAATTAAATATACCCTCATAAGGTGAACATTGTTAAAATCTTCGATTGCAATGTCATCAGATTCGTTACTTTATGCTAACTAAAGTGGATGCAGTGACTAATGATCTAAGTATCTTAATTCTTTACTTTATGCTAAGGAAAAGTGGATTGACTAATGGTTTAAGTATCATAATTCTTTACTCCATGCTAACGGAAGTGGATGTAGTGATTAATGGTTTGAGTATCATAATTCAATACCTTATGATGGAAGTGGATTTAGCGACAATTTAGGTATTATAATTCTTTACGTTATCCTAAAGGAAGTGAATGTAGTGACTAATGATTTAAGTATCATAATTCTTTACTTTATGCTAACGGAAGTGGATGTAGTGATTAATGGTTTAAGATCCAATTTGAAACTATTGAGATGAGTTTTTTTGGGAGGAAAAATGAGTTTTGAAATAGTGATTTTTCTATAATATGTGGTTAAAAGTAGGAAAACGTTTTGAATTTATATGCAAAATATTTTGTCGTGAGCATGTGATTAAAAATGAGCTTGAGAAAAAAGTATTATTTAAATGATTGTCAAAAGTATTATAATTCTTTACTTTATGCTAACGGATGTGGATGCAGTCACTAATGGTTTTAAGTATCATGATTCTTTACTTTATGCCAACAGAAGTAGGAGTGTGTTTGGTAGAGATTAAAATCGGATTAAAATTGAAAAACTAACCGTTATTGTTGACTTTTATTAGATGTAGTGGTTGGAGTTGGATAGGCCTTTGTTTGGTTTTGGGACTTGTTTGGTTATTGTGGTAGCTCTTGCTTAGGCATAGGAAACACTTAAATTCTCTGTGAAGGGCATTGTGTTGGAGGTAAATCCTCCTTGTATCCGTTTGCTACTTTGATGATCGATGAAACTGTTATTTTATCAAAAAAAAAAGAAGTAGATGTAGTGATTAATGGTTTAAGAATCATAATTTGTTACTTTAAAGTTGAGTAAAGAATTTGCTTACCCTTTTTAAACACAGAAAAAAGTCATTTACACCACAAACAACTCCTTTGCAATCTTTATCCACCCCTAAGCCACTTTTTCTACCTCCCGAAATCAATCAATCACTCACACTAAATTTCCTAAGCAAGAAAAAATGGAAGCTGTGGCTATTGAAGGCGTAAAATTTATACTGGAGAAGTTGTCTGCTGTAGCTGCTGAAGAAATTAATCTTGTGCGTGGTTTCAAGAACGAACTAGCAAACCTAAAAAAATACTTGAAAAAGGTCAACCAAGTCTTGGAAGATGCTGAGAAGCGCGAAATCACTGAGAAGGCTGTTAAAAGCTGGCTCAAGGACCTCAAAGATGTTGCATATGATGCCGACAATGTTTTGGACG